TTTCTTGGTTCTCTTCAAAACAGTTTCTTGCAATCCTCTAGATTTTGGTGGATTCCATTGTGATTTCATCTTTCTTCTTCCTTTTTTTCTTTTTTGAGAAAGAGTCTTCCCATGTAGTTCAGGCTTTGTGCTGGGATCATAGGAGTGTGCAACCATGCCCAGATTCCTTTTTATTTTCTAGTTGCATTGATATAGTTTTTTTTCTTTCCTTTTTTTTCTTTTTGGTAGGTTTGACCAAGTGTTTATCAATCTTGTCACTTTCTACTCTAACCTTTAGAATACTTTTGTTTCTAGTAGTTTCAGATTTGGAATATTCTGATTTTTCTAGAGTGTTAATATGCATCATTACATTATTTGGTATCATACCATTCTTTTAATATATGCATGCATTTGTTTCTGAGAACTGCTGTCATTGTTTCCCAAAGGTCTGGGTATGTTGTGCTTCCATTTTCTTTTGATTCTGAGAACATTAAATTCCTTCCTTGATTTTTCTTTGATTCATTGATTATCCAAAAATATGCAATTTCTATATTTTCCCATACTTGCTGTGGTTTCTTTTGCTGTTTTCTTATTCATTCTGCTATGATATGATAGCATCCAAGAGATCATTTCAATTCATTTATATTTATTTAAGCAAGCTTTATGGCCCCAGTTTTCATCTCTTAAGAAAAATAAATATTCTATTAACTTCCAGATGGCTGAGGTCTCCCTGTGTGCCCTGTTCAGACCCCTCCATCCACTGGATTCTCCTCCTCCCTCTCCTCCTCTTCCTCCTCCCCCTCCTCCTCCTCCTCCTTCTCTTTCTTGTGGTTCCCTTGCACCCCTTCCACAGCCAGTTTCTCACTTCTAATGATTTTTTTCAAAGATCATTTTTTCTTTCATCCCTATTAGTGTAAGATATTAAAGTTTCTGCTACATATGTTCCATTTTAGTATTTAATTTGTCTTGCTGTTAATTTCTCCAGTTTCTGAGTTAAACATTTAATTTCTTTTTTTTCATTTATTTTCAGACTTAATGCTAAATAAAGTAGAGTACTGCTGGTGAATTACCTACATGGGAAATATCATCTTCTTCAATCCAAAGGTCAAGTCTGAGTTCCTGCCTCCCAGATAAACCAAAGCATTGAAAAGAAGGAGAGGAAAAAAGTGGAAAGAAAAAAGAAAGAAGTTACTTTCTAGCATTACTAGATGTCTAGACCCACCTATGAAATTGTTGCCTGTGTCTATGGCTGATGATATTGCAGGGATGAAGCCTGAGCATTCTTGTTCCCTGAATCCAGGTTCCACAGTCATGACCTTCAGGCCAACCATGGAGGAGTTTGCAGATTTCAGCAAATACAT